ACTATGTGCTATACAAAATAATCGACTGAAAATCTGGCTTTTGGAAGGCGAAGTGTGGTTCTTTTCGATCTCCAAAGGATTTTTTGGGGAAATGATTCAGTGCGATTTAATCAAATTTTAAAGTTGGATAAAATGAGCTGATTTGACGATGCCGTCAGTTATTCGAAAATGTACACATTCACACGCAAACTCGATTGTTTCGCATTTTACATCCAATCTACAGCTTATTCAATATAATATCATCTTACCGTCCATATTGCTGTACCACAAAAGCGGATTGCAGTCCTGAAATCGTTGCATTGCTCTCATAATAGCGTTATAACTTGGCAGGATATTCAACACCTCCTGATAATGTGGATTGTTTACAAAGCGTATCTCAGGGTTTCTCTCTTTCCATTTCGTTGAAAAGGAGGCTGTAATTACTTCACGTAAGAGATCTTTGTTTAAATATAAGTCTTTAATTAAGCCGCGAACCAAATGTTGGCGAAATGTTGCTGAGTTCAGAAACATGTTTCGCGCGTGCGGAATAACGCTAATTAATTCAAAATTAAGGTCCACAGAAATCGACAACTCCGCAAGAACACAATTTTGGACTGTGAAGCACGTGGCCACAGGAACTAAGGTCGAGTGTTACATAAGGGAAACTGGAGAAAACAATTGTTTAACTTCAATCCTTATTGAGTTCATATTTTTATTTTGTAAATTATTGTTTAGGTTGATAAAGCTCATTTTAGGACTAATAATATACATGAAAAAATTTCTCAGTTCTGATTGGTCAAGAAGAATGCAGTTTTCAGTTAATTCAGTGCAGAAGAGAGTTAATTCAGTGCAGAAGAGGTTTAATTCAGTGCAAAGATAGAAACAAACCAGACATTCTGATTAGTCAGAATGATTGGTCAATGTCAATGTCAAGGTCAATGTCACTTGCAGGGTTTGAATAAATCATTTTTGCACATGATGCGCGCGCTTTTCTTCTGCGTAGTTTTGAGAAGCTACCTCGTATTTTTTCATGTATACATTAATAGATAATCACATGATTTTCTCGCGTAATTTCGAATAAATAAGCACTTGTAAATGTTTTCAAAGACCACAAATTGCACTCGCCCTACGGGCTCATGCAGTTTTGTTAGTCTTTGAAAAAATTACTCGTGCTCATTTATTCCAAATTGCACTCGAAATCATGTGATTACCTGTACAAAAAGAACGAAAGATAAACCTAGTTCGGTGATTAAAACCTCTGCTTGCTGCAATACTACTGTATTTTACTGTTGACAAGTTTTGAACTTCCCTGCACTCTTACTTAATTTTATTCTATTGACGGTATGTAATATTCAAAATGAGTTACAGTCAAACCTACCAAATGAAATTCAGAGGGGTGTTTTTATCGTTAATCGCTGAAACCACACTGAGTATCTATAGAAACACTTAGTGTTTACTTTGTGTAAGAAGGAACCGGTCGAGATGACAATTGCCTCGAGTAGAGGTAAGGATTTTAAATAATTTACAAGTATTTTTTAAGACGCTCTTNCGGAAATGCTTTCGAAACAAATGCTGACTGACGCAAGGAAGAAAGTTCGAAAATAGGAGGTAGAAAGAAACGCTTGGTCAAATGTACAGGGACAACCTGGGATAAAGTTATCAGCGATCGAAATCTCGGGTTTTAGATTTGTTTCTTGCCAGTCAGACCACTTCCTGCATTTTGTTTCAGGGTCGTCGCCTGTTCTGCGTTCAAGTCTAAAGAAATACTCTCCGTCTTTGTCTGCATTTTCTTTCCTGAGGTCGAGGCTCGTTATCCCTGGAGAAGCCGACCTACAAGAGAAACAATCAGAATTGAAGTTGTGAAGAGCGTACTGCGATTGCGGGCACAGATTGATCAAATACGAGCTTAACCCAAAGGGATACTGCCAATATTTGGCAATTGAAGTTACAATAAAGTAAGAAAGTAAAAATCTAATTACAAAAACACACCTGGCTGTTCAAGTCAAGCTGTAGTACGTCATGGCGTACGCTCATCATGATGAGACTAGCCGTATTCATGAGAATATGCGTTTGAAAGGAAAGTTTTCTTTAGAAATAATTTACAATGGTTTGTAGATTTGCATCTCATCGTTGTTGAAATGGTTGTTGAGAGAGTGGCGTAAGTTTCCTGGTACAAGCTCAGGGGGCAAAAACAATCCAAGTTTTGTTTTGTTTTTTTGTTTTGTTTTTTTTATCAAATCCAAGACTGGATTTGATAAAAAAAGCTCCATCTGAGGTGGTATTTTGGTCAATGGCAGTCAAACCTCTTATGTTTAGGGACCATATTTGGTGAAGAAGTTTACCCTTCGAGGCTAAAGAATCGCTCCGTATCTTCCAGATTTCCATCACCAGCGTTTATGCCTGCCACAGGATAGCCGGAAAACTCGGTCGGAAACAATTCACTGAGGAGAAAATGATTTCCTTAGTAATATGTTAAACAGCATTTGCGAACTACACGTGTCTCTAAAATGCAACGAAAAACGTACAAGCCTTCATGATAAGAGGTTTAGACGCTCGACATACACCGCAGCAACGTGTTGGTCTGCGCATCAAAACTTTGGAACCACAGCTCTTTCCAAAGTCACTGTGTTGTGTTCTTGAGCTAGACACTGCCTTAATTTGCACCCATCCTTTACTAGTTACAAAGAATTACCTTCCTTCAGCATGAATTTTAGAAATGTTTTCTCGTTTTATACTTACTAAAATTTCGGCGATGCCCACTGAAGGGCGTTGCAAGGGTAATGGTACTTTAGAAATGTGTAGGTTCCATCAGTGATGAGCACCGCTTGGAATGTATTAGTCTGAAATCCATAAGAAACGAACGCATTACTTGTTAGGCTATTGTTACTGGTTTGTGTCAAAATATGAGTCCTTAAAGGATTAAAGTACTTTTTCCGAAGTGATGTCGGCATTAGACCTTCACTTAAGTTTAAAAATTTGTTTCAGTAATATAACAACTATACTAACGTTCTATATTAATTTCCGTTTAAAATGACAATTCCAATATTAGTAACTTAAATTCTCTATCGACGGTATCGCAACATGTCATGTGATGCGAAGTCAATGCTNTGAGGATAACTTACATTTAGCATAAAGGGGCATATCGCTAACTCCTCCGGGACGGTGTCGCCTTCTTACCACGTTCCCTCAGGCACTTAGCAACTTTCCACGAAGAAGAGTTTTATCGTAACGGTCTAATCTTCAGAGAGGAGATGGGTTCCAAAGAACACAACGCAACATTTCCTCCGATCGAGACTTAGATCCTTCACATGTAGTGCTCGGCGCGTTAGTAATAAGGCCTCTTCATCTCCCGTCAGGAGATCATGAGATGTGGCCTAATGCAATGCGTTATTTGAGCTGTTACATGCTTAAATCATTGAAATATTGTCTTAAAATCGTAACAAACGTGTTGCTTCCCATGTTTTTGGTTGAGGGTCTTGAGCAAAGCTCGATATCGACCGCGAGAAACCCGGTGAATTGAATGGAAAAGATTATGAAAGGAAAGAGCTCTCATTTCTTACCTGGTTTACTGCAATTTCTCCCTTCGTAGGCTTTAGGAATTGGACAGACACAGAAGAACTTGTGGTTATCATCCACAAAACACTGCCCGTCGTTTTCACATGGATTGGTATTATAGCAAGGATCAACTATCAGATAACAAAGAATCGCAGTGAGATAGTTCAGTAGATTTATACCGCCCATCCTACATTTTTATGTCATCAATCTTCTCAGCGTTTTACACATAGTATCATTGAGAAGACAGAGAGTATCATAGTATCATAGAGAAGACAGGAAAAGGCTAGGTATGAAGGTAAGCATGGTGAAAAGGCTAAATAGTTCCTTAACATATGTTTCATTGTCATCATTTCCTACAGATTACAGCACATAACATTCCTTATGTACTGAGGGAAGTTTATTCCGAAATGGTACTCCACTTTCATAAGAGATAAGAGATATAGGGATCATAATATAATTTTTCCCGTCCAGGAAAAGCATAGGGATATCTTTTAATGGAAGTAAATGATGCAAAGGTTTCTTGGTCATTTGTTCTGCTATCATCAAAGTTAACTACGTTAGATTGGACGTGCTTCCTTTTTTGAAAACTTCTGTCGCGCTAACAGAAGTTTCCGAAAGGGGGTGTGTCCAGAGTATGCCGCCTCATCTGGTATTTTAAAAATTACAGTAGGAATACTTAGGCGATTTCGTTCCGTTGTCTTTAAAGTCGTGGGTTAAAAACTAGCTATTGCCCATATTTTTGTATTAGAAGTCTATACAACAAAATCGGGTGACAAGTGTATGCGTACTTTATTGATCCACAATGCATGAAATTTAAAAGAATCTGTCATACCGATGTCGCAGTTTTTCCCAATAAATCCGACTGTACAGTTACAGGTATAGTCATTTATAAGATCTGTACAGGTCCCGTTGTTTTGGCAAGGGCTGGAGGCGCATTCATTCACATCTGAAAAAATAATCACAACGCAAAATAAAGTCTATGCTTTGGATCTTTGACCCATCCTAAATATTTCATTTATAGCATTATAACATAAAACTATGAACCATCTAGCTTCTCGTAGCCGTTCACAATATCCTTAAATAGATGTCACTGGTACGCTTTTTATTCTTACTTCTGTCATTTACTTATAGTCTAATGGTGTTTCCATCCGTAACTTTTCATTCGAGACTTAAGCTAAAGGATCAGAGTTCTGTTTGTCGTAGTACAGTTGCCGAAGAACATTTTTAACCTGGTGTATATTGCACATACCAGGAGCCAAAAGTTATTCTTATCGAAAGTATATACATGTAACTTTGCTAAGTTAGTAAGAATTTTATGGACAAAGTTCTCATACTGTTTTCGCAGTCTTTTCCATTGTAACCAGGCACACAGGTACAGTTGTAATCATTTAACTCATCTGTACAGGTTCCTCCATTTTCGCATGGATTCGGGTCACAGTCATCGATATCTGAAAAATATCGTAACAATTTCTTATTGACTATGATGAAAGAATTGCTAAAATTCGTCATTTGAATCTGAGACATTCTTGCTTTCGTCTACGCCTCATTCTTTGGTTTAAGACGACTTTAAAAAGAGAACCAATCGAGCTTTCTCAGGCACTTGCTTCCGTTTGAAAAATTTTGTTTTTGAAAAAGAGAATCGTCTCACTCATCTTCAGAGAAGGCTCTAATACATTTACTTGGTTTCCAGTCTTAAATTTTTGGATGCGAATGTATTATTAGGAAGGCATTCAAATATACGTTAAATGGTGTTGAGACTTTTTACGCTGAGGTTGTCATATGTTTCAAGTCAGTTTCACCGTGTAAGCAAATTTCCAGAAACCTCAGAATCAATAACGAAGTTAGTTTTGAATCTCTTTGAAATTTCGGATTCTTCTTTTCCCCATTCGGTGCCTTTAGTTGGCCAGCACTCAGGAGCTGGGGAGACTAAGTATCGTCAGTATACCATTTTGAGTTGTTACTCTGGTCGCAGTCCTTCCCGCCGTAGCCAGCGTCACAGGTACAGATATAGTCATTAAATGCATCAGAACAGTTTGCACCGTTTTTGCACGGACCAGAAGCACAGTCATCTACAAAACCTTAAAAACATGGCAAGGATTAATTTCACGTTGTCTTGAAAATACCTGACCTTCAAAACTCAAAATTCAAAAAGGTGGGATGTTTCCAAAAAGCAGTCGAGTCAAGGGAGACCGCCATGTCGAGGGAATTAAATCATGTCGCCTGTTTTATTGTGTATTCCTTTCTCCACGTGTAAGTTAATGATGACTAACAGTGACTAACTTTGAAGTGGAAAATTAATAAAATTAAGTTGTGATTTCCTAGTCGAGGTTCTCTGTAACAGCACGACATTGTTCTCACTCCCCTCATAACAGAAATCATCCGAAGAGTTTAACTATGGAGGATTTTTATCTTTGAGTTCTCCAGTTGGCTGGAAGTTTGCAAGGAAAATTTTGATCATACTTTCATTGCAGATTTTTCCTTCGAAGGCAGGTTCGCATTCACAGGAGAAGTCATTGAAAGCATCAGTACAGTTTCCATCGTTTTCACAAGGATTGGGATCACAGTCATCAACAAAAGCTGAAAAATATGGCCATAATTAACTATGCCAGACGTTAAGCAACGTTATTAAAACTACCTTAAAGCTATTATAACACTTGGATCCGAAGATCGCCTTCACATTCAAAACATCCGTATATGGCATATTTTGTGTTTTGCTTTTGGCGCATTAATTTTTCCTTTTCCTAACGTTCAGTGCCCTTGAGAGAGATTAGACTTGTGTTTCAGCTACCCCAACACCGTTGAGTTGTTGAAATATTGTGGTTTGATTTTTCGATCTAAAACTTCGAAGATTCGTTTAGTAGTCTAAAGAGTTCAGTGGGGGATCCTTGAGCCAAGGAATGGGGAAGGGGGTGGGGGTGGAGGAAAGTTTTTGTGTGTGTACACCTGCATATCTTCGGATATTCATTTTTATCTGGTGCTGGTTGCAAATATGAAAAGTCAAACTGACTAACGAGGCAAGAGCTGGGACACGTTGATTTGACAATTAGCTGGCACCTGATGGAAACGCTATTATACCTTGCTCGCAGTTCTCCCCCTCGAAGGAAGCATTGCAAGTACAGGTATAGTCATTCAGTGCATCAGTACAGGTTCCATTGTTTTGACATGGATGAGATTCGCAGTCGTCGATATCTGAAAAGAATGCAAAAATTAAAATCAAAGTCATTTATTAAACCGACGGTTATCGGGCCACGCACAACGAAGGTGCATTGCGGGGTTAGTTGCTATTCTCGACATTTTCCGTAAAACAGGATTGCAAAGCTTACCATGTGTATACTTTATACGACTAAATATTTGCAATCGTGATCGAGAACTGGCTTTTTATACCACCAACTAGTTCCGTTAGGTGTCTATTATCTATCTGCTACGTGTTCGCGATAAAAAGGCCATTGAAAAGAGGTCGTCTTGCAAGGGTGGAAAGCTACCATATTATATGGGTCACAAGCAAAAGAAAACCTTAGGATTTGGCAAGAAAACGAGAAGCGAGTTTGCAGAGGCCCTGCTACACAGTACTTCGGGGGAAAGTCAAACAGTAAGCTCCTCTCGGTACTTGGGTAACCGTCAGACGGTGAAACGTTTACAATCAATTGCACGCCCAATCCTCTATGAGTATTTGAGTGAAAGTTTCTCTCCCGGTGAAATCGAATTCAGAGATACATTTCCCCAAAATTTCATCTTGGCATCCTCTATCCTTTAAGCGACTTTGAAATACTGTATGATTTTATTAAACCGTGTAGAACATGATGAATTTACTCATAGGAAACTTGGCGCTTCTTCTCTTACTGTTTTTTCTTTGTGCCTGGTTTATGACACGGACAGAAGTTCAGTTATTCGAAGGTCATCTTCTACGTGTGATAGGTTCGGCCGTCAAGGGTCGATCCCCTGTTAAACCTATCGCTCTTGCACACCTTTGTGTGACTAGCGATTGTATCGTGGTTCATTATACAGTTGTTGTTTGCCTGTCTTACAGGTTCTTCTATTTCGTCTTTGGTGCTGTTCCACAGACAGAAAATGTCGTAATATAGTTCTTTCAAAGTAGCGGTTTAGTTGTACTCTGGGCGATAGCATCTTTTTTTATTTTTGCCATAAAAAAGTGGCTAAAGCTACTACTGTGGTGGTATTCTTTGCATTTTCGTGGGTTTGTGAGAAAACGTCTCGAGTTTCCTGGACAATAACAACAAGAACAGCAGCGCGTAAAGCACCGTGGCACTTGTTGAGTACGTGGTTCTTTAATTATTCCTTCTCTCGTTTCCATGGCTTACGCAATCACTAGATCCGTCGGTGTTTCGTCGGATGAAGTCATTGTTGCAGTTGTTCTTTAAAAACGTATGTATGTATGTATGTATGTATGTATGTATGTATGAAAACGCACGGTCAAAGTATTTTTTCTTGTCGGATAAGTTGTCTGTCGTGTTGCACACTAGTTGTGCTCGTCATATTAGAGTATTAGAGGCAAAACATTATATAAATATTTATCATGCGGCACCAAGCCATTTGATATTTTAGGTACATAATTCCTATTGAAGTTTAATTGACTGAGTATTTGTGGCATCTGTTATTTCATAGCTCGCTGAACGAATGCTATATTCCCGTAGTCACGCCATGAGTGAATTTTTACAGCATTTAGTAGATGAGAGGATGCAGAATTTCTATGACATCCACTGAGTGAATGTTGGCAGAATTTCTGCGACATCTAGGGGGTGGATGTTTGGAGAATTCTGCAACATATAGAGTATGAGTGGTTGCAGATCAATTTCTGCAGCATCCAGTGTATGGATGGTGGCAGAATTTCTGCGACACCCATGAAAATGAGAGTTGCTGATATCCAGAGTATAAGTGGTCGCAGAATTTCTGCGACATCTAGAGTATAAGTGGTCGTAGAATTTCTGTGATACCCAAAAAAAGAGTGGTCGCTGAATCTCTCGTCATCCAGTATATGAGGGGTCGCAGAATTTCTGCGACATCCAGTGTATGAATGGTTGCAGAATTTCTGCGACATCCGGTGAATAAGTGGTCGTAGAATTTCTGTGACCTGACCCCGAAAAATGAGTGGTCGCATAATTTCTCCGACACCCAGCTAGTGTATGAGAGGTTGCAAAATTTCATCAACATCCAATGACTGACTGTTTGCAGAGTATACATCGATTACCTCTGAATCTTTTTATGGTTGACTATAAACATATAGTTTCTTACAGACATGTTAAATCTTGCAGAGAAAAAAAAAATTGAGTATTTCTAAAGGTTTTCAGCGAAATTGGACTATTTTCAAGTTTTTACAAAAACATGCAGACAAAAACCATTTATCTATTTAAAAATGTGTTGTTCAGAAAACAAATAATCATTTGGAAACGGTTTAATGCTTGTTTTGCAAATTTGAGTCATTTTCCTTCAAATTCAATGCGAGACCATCACCTAAATCTGACTGAATCTTAATAAATTAAGAGCCAAATCTACTCTTTAGGGTACTTAGCATCTTACTCCACAATTAGTCAGAGTTTAGCATACGAAAAAGGTAGTAGAATGTTTATGAGAAATTGATCATACCTTGCGTACAGTTCTTGCCATCGTAGCCAGCGACACAAGTGCAGTTATAGTCATTTACTCTATCGATACAAGTTGCTCCGTTTTTGCAAGGATTAGGGTCACAGTCATCGATATCTGAAAAACAGAGGAACTAATTTCATGAATCAAATTTCCCTGTTCGTTGTCGGAAAGTTGTAAACCAAACGGAAGGCATAAATGCCGTGTTAAGGGTTGCTTTCCAGGCAGACAAACGTTGACGTTTTTCTGTGAAAAAATGCTATCAAATAAGAGAACTCTTATAGAAAATCTCTCATACTTTGGTCGCAGTCCTTGCCATCGTAGCCAGCCATACAGTTGCAGGCATAGTCATTAACTCCATCGCTACATGTTGCACCATTCTTGCAAGGATCAGGGTAACATTCATTGATATCTGAAAGGTAAAAAAACAGATCAACTGAAAGGGGAATTTATTGAATAAGCTAACTTCCTTGAAATTGGGTTCTCGTCGAAAATTATCTCCGAGAAAAAACTAAATGCAAAGAATTAATATCCTTTTTCAAGTTAAGGGGACACGACAGTAATAAACTAACATACTTTGGGAACAGTTCTTACCATCGTAGCCAGCAACACAGGTACAAGTACAATCATTTACTTTATCGGAACAAGTTGCACCGTTTTCGCAAGGATCAGAGTGACAGTCATCGATATCCAAAAAATAAAAATGAAACTTTACCGATTCTATTTTCCTTCCGAAACTTATTGTATACATGCAAAGCGTGGGTTTCGTGTAGGAAAAGAAAAGAAAAGAAAATCGAGAGTTGATTCAAATAGACGAGTATGTAGCCTTTTACTCGACAAATAAGTAAACAAGGAGCAATATGATCTTTCCTACTTTGAGAACAGTTCTTGCCATCGTAGCCAGCCATACAGGTACAAGTATAGTCATTGACTTCATCGGTACAAGTTGCACCGTTTTTGCAAGGATCGGGATGACAATCATCGATATCTTAAAAATACAAATAGATGTTGAAAAAATCAAAATTTGA